GACGATTTTGGCCTCTTCGGGGCCTCCTTGGGGAGCTGTTTGGCCACTTGGAGTTATCTTGGGGCCGTCTTTGGGCTTCTTGGAACCATCTTAGGAGCCATCTCGAGCGATCTTGCGCTATCTTGAGCCATCTTGGAGCTCATCTTGGGTTCTCTGAGGCGCTCTTGGAGCCGTCTTGGGCCATCTGGGACGCTCTAACTACCCGCGGCCCCCCCCGTCCAGGTCCAGGGGAGGGGGTAGGGGGAGGGGTAAACCCCTCCCCAAGGGGGAAGAGGGAGGGGTGGAAGAGGATCTGCTCTAGACCACCTACGCCCAGAGGGCTGGTGGGATTGTGCTGTGAGGCGCGCAAAAGATGGGGGCGGTCATGTTGCATTGGACCAAGATGAATGCACGAAACAGCTCCGTCCTGTACAACATCCTGAACTCACAGGCGCAGACGCTAACTCCAAAGCGCTCAAGGCGCGTTGGCTTGCGCCTTAATCGCGCGAGTGGCGTTGATGGTATATGTGGTCTCTCTACAGCGCGTCCAAGAACCGACCAACATACAAGTGCGACGACTGAGTGCGATTTCCAGAAAGCTGCAGGCCTGCCTTAAAAAGAACACCTAGCAATCGATGGCTCCAACGGGCGAAGTTGACCTGCGCAGCGACTCCGGCTATTGACGCCTGAGTGGAGACGCCAGCGACGAGGTCGAAGGCTACGGAATTCGCAGGGCAAACCTGCTACGGCGCGGAAGCGCGCCATCCGGTAAGCTCGTTGTTTATTTGATCGATGCGTATTGCAAGTCTCACCGCTTGCAGGTCCGCTCAAGCTACTCAGCAGAAACACTTGCAGCAGCCCGCAATCTCGAGGACTGCTATCCCACGATCGTGACTCTGCACGAGCTCCATGTAGGTCCACTGACACCCGCGCAGATGAAAGATGTATTGGAAATGGGTGGCCTGAGCATCAAGGTCGTTTTGACCATGGGTGCCGAGTCTCTTCAGGTCCTTGTCAAGCAAAGACCTGAAGAAGCCGACTGGGTGTACTCTTTTGGGTCACATCAGTTCGATGCGACAGATGATGGGGCGAGGAATCGTGCATGGCATTCGGTGGTGTGACACTCGCGATGCGACCGCGGACGGCCACGCAAAGTGCAGCATCGATAGATAGATGCTCCTACAGTTCCTGGGGGGCGCGCGATCTTTCAAGTATGACTTTAAACGTCAGTCTCCTTATCAGACTGGCCAGACAACTTCGTCTGAGGCCGCCTGGGGATTAATCGCGTGCACAGCAATGTGCTTGCAAGGTAACTTGCGCGCGAGCCCGCCTTCCTTCTGGACCCTCCTTTTGCTGCCTTGTTGTGCGTGGTGTTTGCTGTATGGAGGCGGCCGGCTCACGCCCCCCCCCCCCCCCCGATTCTAAAGCGAATTGGGGCAGGGGCGAGAGATGGCGAGCATTTGTCCGCGGCCGTTTGTGTGCAAGCGGCCGGCCGCCAACATGTGATTGCGCCTCGTTGCGAGGCGTATTATTCGCCATCGAGACCGAAAACATCCTTCGCTTGAGATGGCCCGTCGCTCCCGCGACGACCTCCACGACTGGGACTATCGTTACTGCGATAGAACGGGGCATGATCTTGGCTTCGCCTAATGCGTGGCCTCTGGGCGGGCCAACCGGCCCTCTTCAAACTCTGCCCCCCTCTTTCGCTATTCGTCCTCCCCCCTTTCCCTCCTTTCTCTCTACTCCTGTTCACCTCCTCTCCTTACTCTCTGTCTCTGTCTCTGTCAGTGTCTCTGTCTGTGTCTCTGTCTCTGTCTCTGTTTCTGTCTCTGTCTCTGTCTCTGTCTCTCTCTCTCTCTCTCTCTCTTTTTTTCCTCTCTCTCTCTCTCTCTCTTTTTCCTCTCTCTCTCTCTCTCTCTCTCTCTCCCGCCGTCCCTCCTCCCATCTTCCCCCTCCTGCCGTCCTCCACATTCGTCCTCTTCCCGGCGGAAAAGGCCTGGGGGCACCTGAGTGGGCCCCCGCCCCCGTCGCCAAGGGGGACCCCCGGGCGTTGGGGTTATGTTCCCGGGGCCCTGGCCATGAAAAGCGTCAGATTCTTGTTTGCGTTCCGCGCATCCCCGCCAGTCCCTGACGGCGCCTGGCACCCCTGCGCGCCCGCGATCAAAAATCCCCACCACCGCTCGTTCCGCTGCCACCCGCAGTGGCTGCTTCCGACGCGCAGAAGCCCTGCTCACCTTGCAGGGATACGTAGCCTTTGCCGCGCTCAGCCCCCGCGTGCTGCCCCTCGGACAGGCGCAGGCGCTTGCGGCTTCCGCTATCTCCCGCGGGGGTGCCCCACGCCGCAGTCACCACGGGGCACGCTGCCAGCTAATTGCACGCCACTTTGACGTGCCTTCCCCGGCGGTTGCTAGTTGCCGATGGCACCCCTTCCGTGAGCGCCGCGCGGCCCGGCCCGGCTAGTCTCTCCTCCCGCTGCTCTGTTGTTGTATCATTTTTTTGTTGTTTTGTTTTTGTACCCTACCTAGGCTTTGCCTAGAGGGTTCTTACTCTCTTTCTGAAAGGGGCCGGGCAGTGGGGCTCGCCCCGGGCGGTTCCCCCAGTATCCGCCCCGCGGTTCCCCCAGTTGCGCCCCCTGGGTTCGCCCAGCTAAGCTAAGCTAAAGTTAGGCTAGCTTAGCTTAGCTGAGCTTAGCCTGGCCTAACCTAGCTTAGCTTACCATATCTCATCTTAGCTTAGTTTAGCTTACCTTGGCTTTGCCTAGCCGAGCTTATCTGAGCTTAGCTTATCTTACTTTATATATTATATGATCTAAGTTTATCCTATCTTATTTTAGCTCGGCTTGACTTAGTTTAGCTTAGCTTAGCTTCGCTTAGCTAAGCCTAGCCTAGCCGAACCTAGCTTAGCTTAGCTTCGCTTCGCTTAGCATAGCGTAGCTTACCTTCGCTTAGCTTAGCGCAACGCAGCATCGCGCAACGCAGCATTAACACATCATATCATATCATCGCATAGTCAATCATATCCTCTCATCGCAATACATAGCTCAGTATCTCATACCATATCATACCATTACATGCCATCTCATAACATATCACATCATATCATAGCTTACTCCCGCATACCATAGCGCACCATCTCATATCATATCATACCATATCATACCATACCATAGCATTGGTCAGTCTAGCACAGTGCATCATCTCATATCATTTTACATCACATCATAACATATCATATCATATCGCATCATATCATTGCCCATCAAATCATACCATAGCGCATGCTTTCATATCGTAGCATAACCTTGCATCGCCTATTCTAGCGCACAATATCGTAGCACATATGCAGCTGTATATGTAAACGTCGCTGACGGTGTAGATGTAGATGTTGTGTTCCTGCAGGCTCTTTCTCCTAGGTAGGGTCGCGCTGGGATAATTTTCCTCTCTCTCCCACTCTCTCTCTCCCTCCCGTGTGCAATTTCGGTTCCTGCTTGTTCGCAGTAGCTTTGGACGGCGCGCGGTCCTCCCATTTGCGCTCGCGAACAACAGATAACTCCACCAACCCATCCAGAAGCGATGCCCAGGATAACGGACGGAAGAAACAAAAGGGAGGGATATACGCACGTAGTGAAACCGCGTGGGCAACAACGGTGAAGTGGGATATTTCTGGTAACGAATGGTACGGGTGCTGCTGTTGGTGCTATTTCTGCTGCTGGTGCTGGTGGTTGTGGTGCTGCTGCTGCTGGTGCGGCTGTTGGTTTTGTTGGTTCTTGCGCTGTTGGCGCTGCTGCTGGTGGCGTTGCTTCTGTTGGTGCTGGTGGTGCTGTTGCTGCTGGTGTTTGTTTTGGAGGCCTCTTGGATCGTCTGGGGGGCTTCTTAGGTGCCTCATGGATCCTCCTGAGGCATCTGGGGAGTCTCTTGGAAGCCTCTTGAAAACGTTTTGGGCGCGTCTTAGGGCCGTCTGTGTGCCTCTTGGGGCCCTTTGGAGCGCTCTTGGGAGGCTTTAGGGGCGCCTCCCGGGCCATCTTGGAGGAGATTGATCAACGAAGGGGAAAAAGGGGGCTCCCTCATCACGCCCCCCCTCGGGAACCCCAGACATAGCTTTCTGGACCACTCTTGGGGCGCTCTTGGGGCGCTTTGGGGCGCTTTGGGGGCCGTCTTGGGGCTCTCCTGGGCCCCTCTTGGGGCCCTGTTGGGCCATCTTGGAACCATATTGAAGCCTCGGATGGTCATCGGAAGCGAGAAGGCGAGAAAGTACATACCATTGGTTTTCAGACGGTTTTTGACCGATTTTGGCTTCTTGGAGGCCTCTTTGGAGGTCTCGGAGGCCTCCTGGAACCGTTTTGGGGCGGTCTTGGAGCCTCTTGGCGCATCTTGGAAGCCAACTTGAGGCATCTTGCGTTATCTTGACCATTTTGGAGTTCATCTTGGGCCCTCGGAGCCCCTCTTGGAGCCGTTTTGGGTCATCTTCGAAACTCGGACCGCTCGCGAAACCCCCCGTCCTGGTCCAGGGAGGGGGTATGGGGGGAGGGGTAAACCCCTCCCCGAAGGGGAAGGAGGTGTTGGAAGAGGAAACCCCTTAGACCTACGCCCAGAGGGCTGGCGGAATTAACTAAAGTATGCTCGGAGAAGGGCCTGCAGGTACGGCCTGGCAGGGGCCTACCATTCCCCCATCTTCCCTCTTCCTTTCTCCTGGGGACCACCCCGAAAGATCCGAGCCCACTGACCTTCCGCAGCCCTCAAGCGCCTCCAAGCGCATGGTTGGCGTTCCCCCCCTTCCCCGCCGCCCTCCCCCCCTCTAGTTCGTGCCCCACCCCCCATACACCCTGCGAAATGCTTAAGAAATCATGGGTTAAGAAATTCATAGTCTCAGAACTTGAAAAAAAACCCAACATTTCCATTAAACTCTTAGGATTTTCATTGAAAAATTAAGAATAATCGAGACTCTGGCCGAAAACTTTAAGTTTTCTTAAGCATCGCCTAAGGTGTATTCCCCTCTTCCCTCCCGCTGGCCCTCGTGCCCAGGAGCGCCCGCCCACCGTGGGCGGCCCCGACGTCTGCCGCCTGGTGGTCAGGAGCCCCCCACCACCCTGCGAGCGGCCGAGCGGTCGCGGGCGCGCCGCCGCCGCCGCTGCCGCCTCCGTCGCCGTCGCCCTTGCTGTCGCCGTCGCGGTCGCCGTCGCCGTCGCCGTCGCCGTCGCCGTCGCCGTCGCCGTCGTCGTCGTCGTCGTCGCCGTCGTCGTCGCCGTCGCCGTCGCCGTCGCCGTCGCCGTCGTCGTCGTCGTCGTCGTCGTCGTCGTCGTCGGCGTCGTTGTGTTCGTCGTTGTCTATTTTGCTCCCCCTGCCGCGCTGGTGCCGACGGCACTGGGGGGGCCTCGGGTCGCTTCTTGGGCAGCTTGGTGGCTTGCTCGGAGATTCGGTGGCCTGGTCTAGAAGCTCGTCGGGTGGTCCAGAGGGAGGGGCTCGAGCCCCTATCCCGTCGTGGGGCTCAACTAGCGGTAGCGGGCTCTCCTAAGTGCGGGCGGGCGACTGGAGGCCCAGACGGACTCCCATGTTCGAAGACGCAACCACATGTTTTCCAGCGTGGGCCACAAACAGAAATGGACGGCACAATGCATGCGTAAGTTATGTGATGCATTGCGTCGCTCAGTGAACAGACGTGTGCATGCAGGGGGAACCATGCAGATCCAACACTTAAGCACGAACACGACCCTCAACAAACGACACATGAGCAACATCACGATTCTCGACAACCCACACATCAGCACAACCGATATCCCCAACACACCACACACAAGCACCAACATGATCCGCAACAAACCACACATATGTACCAACACCATCCCTAACATATCGCGCATGTTCACCAACACAATTCCCAACAAGCGGCACATCAGCACCAACCCATTCCCCAGCACACCACAACTGAACAGCAACCGGTCCGCAACGACGGAGCACCAAGACAACCATCAAAACATCACACATACACACCAACACAATCTTCAACGCACCGCACGTAGGCTTCCACGCAGCCATCAAGAAGCCACATGTAACCACATACACATCCCCAACCACCCACAACCACACCAACATAATCCTCAACATACCACACACAATCACACACAACCCCCATCTAAAAACATAAGCAACCAAACACGTGCGATCTGGACCAGTATTCGCGCGCTACATTGACAAGAGACAGGTCGCATCCCCCAGCGGCAAACGCACCAACAATCTACGGCCCTCCGTAGCCATTTTGGCTCAGGCCATTTTGGCTCAAGTTCGAAACCTTGCTGCGAGGCTTCGAGCTTGTCCGCAGCCGTGCGGCAGGCTCGGGTGATTTTGGCGTGTAAGTTTCCTCGTGTCGCGAGAGGCGACTCGGCAGTCATTCCTCCTCTGCAGTGCCCGCGATGGTGCCACTTCCCAAGCTCGCGCCGTGGGGGGCCAACCGTGAGCGCTGGCCGCGCAACGGTACGAACGGCAATCGCAAGATGTGGAAGTGCAGCTACTCAGATTGCGGCTGCGCTAAGAACCTGCCCAGTTTCTGGTGCTGTAAGCACTGCAAGAGGGAGCGGGTGGACGTGCAGCCTGCTGAAGCGGCCCCACCACGCGGGGAATGGCAACGGGGACCCCCCCGAGCGTCCCCGCCGCCTGTGGCGGTGCCCGAGTCGGCCAGCAAAGAGGACGTCCGGCAGCTGCTCCAGCTGGCGGAGAAGCTCGGTGACTCCGCCGCGGCGGCGCACTACCGTGGATGGGTCGCCAAGAGGTCCGCCAGCGAGAAGCCCACTCCAGCCAAGCCATTGGAGAAGCAGGCAGAGCAGGCCCGAGTTCGAGTCAAGCTCCTTGAGACCAAGCTCAACAAAGAGTTGTCAGACATCGAACGAGCGCGCACATGGTACTCGGACTGCGTCGAGGCAGCGAAGAAGCTCAAGATCGACCTGGACGAGGCGGATAAGGAGCACAAGAGGCTGGTGGACCAGCTCCATCATGAGGTGGTGGCTCCCGCTCCTGCTCCTGTGCAGCGGGCTCTGTGCTTGCGAGCCATCCTGGGCGGCAAGAAAGGGGCCATCGCCATTGACTGCGGTGGAGGAGTTCTCGGCTTGGACGGCCAGTATGAGTGGTCGGACACCGATCTGGCAGAGTTCAACAAACGCAAGTCCTTGCTCGAAGGCCAGCTGGCGGACATCGCCAAGCAGTTGTTCGCCAAGGTCCAGCAGTCGCTGGACGAGATCAAGAAATCGCCCAGCGAACGCATGGGTCGCCTTCAGGAAACAAAAAAAAAAAACAACGTAAGGTCGAATCACATGCTGAGGCGGAAGCTGGAGGATCGGGCCGCGGCCAACCCGATCTACCAGGATATCGTGCCCCTGGGGCGCCAGGAACGGGTACAGCGGCGAATGCCCCTCCAACGTCGGCGCCTACGGCGACTACAGCAGCGGCTTCTGGCAGTAGCGACGTGCGCCAGCGCGCCGATCGAGTGCTCTGCGCACCGCTGGCCCCGCCTGGACATGACTATGTTCAGCCC